TGTGGAATATGAGATGTAAATGTAAAAGTTAGTATTATATGCAAACTATAGTGTGCCAAACAAGGAGAAGTTAGTGGGGAACATGTGGGACCCTCACCATGTGAAGAAAAAGGGAAAGATAAAGTTAGAGATTATTTGTATGTAATTTGATTAGCGTATTTGGTGGTCAAATGAGAAAAGTGAAATGTGGGTTGCATAAGCCTTGATTGGTTGGATAAATGGCCAAATAAAATATAAAGGAAAGTTGTGCATGAAATGTAATTAGAAGAAATAGGTGGCAAAGGAAATAAAAATAAAAGTAAGAAAATGAAGTGGCAGATGGAAGACAATTAAGATAGATTTTAGACCAAAGAGAAAAAGAGATAATTTGTGCATGAAATGTGAGTGGGGAATGAGTTGGTCCAATGAGAATAAGAAATAAATAAAGGAATAAAAAGAGAGAATGGAATACAGGAATCAAGAAAATAAAAGAATGAAAAGGTGTGGAAAATGGGTGTGACGGTGAAAAGATTTTAAAGGCTTTTGCCTTGTTTTCTTGCTACATAAAAGAGAAAAGAAACATACCAACAAGACATGAAACCTTGGTAATCCGCCCATGAGAGAAAATAAAGAGAAAAAGGAAGGAAAACCAAATGAAAACCAAGTGACCTTGGGCAATTCGCCCATGTGAGAACCAAATGGAGAAACCAAAGGCATTTTCAAGTCTTTTGCCTTAAGAAGTCCACCCATAACAAAGAGAGAAAAAAAGGGAGAAAGAAAGAAAGGAAGAAAGGAGGAAGAAGAAAAAGGAAAGGAAATACCGATTTGGTGAACCCGAGACAAGTAAGGTAAGGAGATTTTCCATTTTTCGTAAAATGCATGCTTAGTAAATCAATTGTGATGTGTGATTTTTTTGTGGTAGCAAGAATCTACAAGGATTCAAGGGACCCGAGGCATGCATGTAGGTAGATCTTGGAATGCATGGTGATTTTTGAGCTAAATAAGCAATGTGTAAGTGTTTTAGTCTTGAAATTTTAAGCAGAAAGGAAAATGAGATGTAATTTGATTGCCTATGTTTGTGGCAGCAATGGTGACTATGGATGTGAAGACATTGTGAACTATACGTGTGGAACTCAAGCTAAAACTGAAAGGTAAGCATGCAATGTGGTCGCTTGGTGTTGTGTCGGCATTGGTTAATTGATAGTATATGGATTGTATGTTAAATGATTGTGAGTAAGGGATAATGAAAACTATGAGATTAGGTTATGGAATTATTGATTGATGTGCTGCCATGCATGTGAATAAATTAAGTGTATTGAGCTTATATGGTTGATAGGAAGTGTATGAGTAAAGAAAATGTGCAGTGGTGGCGTGCCAGAGGAGGTAACGGGTAATTGGTGAGTGGAATTAGCTAGATACGTGCCCGAATCAATAGGGATGTAGCGTCCTGCTATTGTGAGGTGAGTAGGGGGTGCCTATTTTAAAAATCTTTATGCCATATGTAATGATTTATGTTAGTAAATATTGATGGTTTTCCTAAGTGCAATTGTGGATAGCATGAGCTGTTAGCCTTGTTAGGCAATTTCAAATGGATTTACAATGATTTATATATTGCTATTGTGGAAAACATGAGCTGGTAGAAACTATAGAAAGTTTGTGGGTGAAAATTGTTTGAAAGGAGTTTTGGACATAACTATAGATAAACCATATATGTAAAGAGTTTTCGAAACCGGGAAACAAGTCTTTCACAATGTTTGTATCAAAATCTATGCCTTGTGTTTTCGTGTGATATGCATAGCTAAAGCCATTTGTTAAATGATTTAAAATGCAAAGTTTTAAGCTTCGGCTTTATTCTGATCTTCGTACAAGTGATTACACCATGCCATTTAACTTGAAAAGTA